TAAATACATAATTGTATCATAATATCTAAATCGAGAACATGTAATATTGTAGATTTATTTGATTCACTACGGTAAGGTACACGTTTTGTTACAAAAGTATTAAACATAAAAGATGAGTTTACAGTAGTTTGTATAAAATTAAACATATAAGAGAGTTTTACAATAGTTTTTATAAAATAAAGAGGAATTATTATAAATTTAATGTTAGTGGGTAAAAATTGAGTGAAAGTAAAAAATTGAGTGAAAGTAAGTATAAATTTAAAGTTTTTGTTTTCCCATTAAATTGTCAAAATTAATATATTAGTCATTAATATTATCTATTTATAACAAAATATCACTTCATCATTACCACTAAATTAACGATGTGATAACGTTAATAAAAAGTTAATATTTAATTTTACTCTTAAACTATGATTAAAACATCAAATAGATTCTTAAACAATAATCTTATATCCAATTTACTCCAAAACTCTCTAGTTTTCGTTTTTTTTTTCTTTCCAAATATTCACCACCGACGCCATATTCCTCTGCCCTTCCTCTCCTACCTCAAGCTTCCAAACTCAAACGCAGTTGTCTCGATTTAGCCCTCTTCCAAAGGTTACTGCTTTTATTTTTAATGGTTCGATGTTTTTTCTCGGTGTCATTCAATTTAGTACTGATTTTCTGTTTGCATATGCGGGCAATGTTGGCTGCCCATTCTTATGACAACTTATAGCAATGGCAGTTGGTCAACGGAGAAAGAAGCTGCACGGTGCTAGCATTGCTGTCTGCAGTTCTTTGGACCGATACAAAATCAAAAAGAAAAGGCCGGAGCCTCCGGGAAATGATTTGAACACATAATTTTGTATTTCCCTCGAGTTGGATGGGAACAAATCGGCTTAAGTCGGAGGCATTTAAGGCCATTTACGGATATAGTATTTTTAAAAGTTGTACTCTAGTTATGCTTTATTTTTATAGAAGTTATAGTTCTTGGGGTATTTTCCAGCATATTTGAATTTTCACTTTGGAAATCATTTTCTTCAACGGAGAGTAATTACTTCTGACACTTTTCTCACCCAGTGAATAATGGATCTTTTCTTCTAGGTATTTTGTGATGATTACTGTCGGTTTCAAATCTGTTATATTTGACTGAAATTTATGCTTATAGGGATACATCTCTAAAGTTTGGGTCATCTTCACCCTGATACAATTATTCAGGAGGAACAACGTTTAAAGGCCGAGAAGAGAGCATACTACTCAGAGTTACAGGACTACCACAATGAGTATGTAAAAAGTATAGAGATTTACCCAATGAATATAAGCTGCTCTTGTAGAAGAAGGTGCATTTTGTTCCTACAATTATTCAGGAAATGCATTTTATTACTAATTTATCAGTTCCATTTAATAAAAAAGCAAAAATGGATGAGTAGAGAGTGTGTTTGTGTTAAGGAAACCGAAAATAATGGAAGTAGCGACAAAAAGTCCGAACAGTATTTTGACATTCAAATTGAAAAAGGAAAGGCAGAAGTCTAAAAAGAAAGATTCATTTTCAAGGAAATACTGTGTTTGTCAGAAGATGGAAGTAGCGACTAAATGTCTAAAAGATAAAATATCGAGCAATGCTTTGTCATTTCTTGTAACTTTTTTTTTCAAATTATAAAGGAAAGACGAAAGCTTTGCCAAACTGAAGCGCGTCAATCATTTCACGTACTGAGAAACTGAGCTTTGTTTAAATAAGAAAACCCCGCAAAAATGGCAACCGATCATTCTGAGAGGCAAACTTCGGCTGAAAGAAGGCAGAAAGGCGCATGCTTTACTTGCGGAAAGCCAGGTCACTGGGCACTGGATTGCCCTTCCAACTACCGAACGGCAAAAGCTTCATCTCCAGTCGACACCCACCTCCTGCCGGTGCTGCGCTGCCACTGCGGTGTGGCTTGCACCGTCTTTGTTGCCCACAGCGTCGTCAACGACGGAAGAAGGTACTATTCTCGTAATTGTAAATGCTGCAATGCCATCCAAGCAGAAGTTTCTACAAACGGCGCGATGATGTCAAGGCACCCATGTGTAAGTGCAACGCCGGAGCCTGCACCGTCAATAGCCGGAGAGACGAAAATGGGAAGGAGACCAGGTACTATACTTGCCGAATTAGAACGGTATGCTGCGCTGTTCTTTTCTTTCCAAGTTTTGGGTTTGTGGTTTTGTTGAAGTTTTCATCTTTAATGGAGATCATAGTTCGGATAAAGTTGGTTATTGCAGGCTTTGGATAAAAAAACTTTCTTAAAGAAAAACATCTTTAAACAAAACTGGGTCCACTGCAAGAATAGAAATTATGAAATTGAAGATTTTGTTTCTTTGTGCTTCGGTTATATTTCCTTTTTTTCCTTATGATTATACAAACGATTAAACTACTACTTGAGGGATCTTTCCCGTTGTCGGTTGGAACAAGTTGCGAATCTAGTAATATTTATATATATATATATATAAAAGCATACAATTTTTGAACGGAAAAAATATAATCAATAAATAAATAATTAATAAGAAAAGTTTGAAATTTGTTCATCCTCGTGTACATGTAGATCTGTCATTGTTTGAAACCCCAAAAGTTATCGTTTTCTTGGGTGCCTGTGTGCAAAGGTCGATTGGAAATTATAATTTTTTTAAATTAATCTATGATAAATGTAAGATAATAACTTTTAAACATTTGATATAAAAGTATACTCACTCTATTTATGGGCCATTTTAATAAGGGATGTACCTAAAGGATGCTCCCTAAAAATTTTAATTTTTTTATATATTTTAGATTTATTTTTTATTGAAAATATGCTTTCCCCTCCAAAAAATTTATAACTTCTCGTACTTAATATTTTATAAGTTCGTTTTCCATAACATGAAATTTTGTATTCGTCCCTGATTTTAATCCATGACCGGTGATGGAAGTGCTTTGTGAGGTAGAGTATAATCCGAGGATCATGTTTAGTTGACCGTCGACATTTTTTCTTTCGCCGCTCTCCACCCAAATCAACCGGGTGAACCACTCAACGGATTATTTTTACTGATCAAGTGTTGCCACTATTCTTTACACGGACATGGAGCCTGTGGTTTCTTGCTAGTCGATACTCCTCCAAGTCCTCCCAATTCATGGCCATGGTCTTCGAAGATAGACAAAAGACCATCAACATTGAGTCCCCAGCATTCTGGCTTACCGAATCTTAAGGCTCACCAAATATCGGCTGCTGGAAATGGATGTACGTACCACTTGCAGTATCTTTGTTCTTCTGGTCCCTTGCTCTATGATTTTATTCATTGCAGTTGTTCATATAGTAGGAGTGTTCTTGGAGGATCGAATTCTCCATATCCATGTCAGATATGTGTGTCCAACATAGATTCCTAAAAGATTTGGAACAACACAAATATATTTGTTTCCTCCAAATCTAACTACTAACTACTGTAACTAATTTCTAACTAATTACATAACTTCCTTCTTCAACATTTTCACAGATGCTGAAGTTGACGAAGTACCACAAAATACTCTTGGATATGATATGGAACCATTGGGTGTTCTTTTGGAGACTTATAAACCTCGAAACAGCCTTCACTCCTATGGAGGAGGAAGGTGGTGTAACAAATACAATCTTGGAGGAGGTTGGAATGAATCTTCATAAAGATCAGCTCACTTATTTGGAGTCAATGGAGCCACCTGATCAAAATACCATGTTACCGAAAATACCATGTTACCGGCAGCAAATGATACTTTCGACGCTTCGGCTGGCCCGTTGATTGAATGCGGACCTTTTGTTGAGCGTGTGGTGGAATCTATTCGGGCTATATCTATAGCTGCAAGAACGGAGCCAACTCTCCAAGATAACTGCAATCATGCAGTGAATTCAATCCCAAAAAATGTAGGGAAATGTGTATATGATATATCCAGCACCCATGCAGAAGCATTGGCGGCCATTACAACACTGGAAGTTATCATCTCCAGTCAGTCCATGAAGCGGCTTCACATATTAAGGATGCACTCAGTCAAATGCAGAAGCTTGAAACTTATCTTCTAAAAGCTGCCATGGATGTGGGGCAGTCAAAGAGATGCATACAGGCTACATATCAAGAGCTTACAAAATTCCTTGCAACTTTCACAGGAGAAACAAGAGTAAACGCATTGCAACAAGGATAACATTAAACGAGGTAAGAACTCAGCTTAAAAACATATTGCTATATTACTTTGAATTGAGTGTGGATGTCAGAAACAGGTTCACGTTAAATAAAATTATATGCATTTGTAAACGAAACAAAAAAGTTCCATGTTAAACAAACATGTGAAGCACCATATTTTCATTTTACTCCCCCCCCCCTTGATTTATCAATTTAACCAAGCTCTAGATACGATTCAGTTCAAGTGAAGGAAGATGATACAAGATAGTAGACTACTTCAATGAAGCTGAGTGATGTCTGGCTGGCAGTAAGAAAATCAGAGGAAAGCTAGGACCTCGTTAGATTACAGGACAGCAGCTGCAGATGTATTTAATGTAATACTGTTATTATGTTTTTGTTAGCATAACTGGTTTGTATATCCATGCAGGTGGGGATTTCATGTGTACCTTTATGCATGTATGTATGTATGTATGCATGTATGTTGTGCCAATTCATTTTTGCATTAGCATATCAGAAATTCGGCAATCAGCACAACATTTACATTCACTGGAATGTTGTGGTGATAATTTGACATCCATAATTATCATCCTTATTTCAGGACAATATTATATTCAGAACTTCCCAACATTCCCTTTTTCCTTCTTTTTTTGGGGATAAATAAATAAATAAAGATAAAATGTATATACACGATAGTTACAAAGAAAGCTGACTAACATAGAGGATTTAAAACAAAAAGAAGCTAAAGTTAATGAACATCGAGAAACAGAAACAGAGAGAATAGGCAGCTTCCTAGATACAAAGGCATAAAAAGAATGATATTACCTCTAAGCTATACAAGTGATATTTTCTTTTCCTCGCCTTTCAGATGTTTTTTTCTCTTGGACTTGATATCGGACTGGCTCATATTAGCTTTCAACTATGCATGTTATTGCGAGCTTCTAGATTTTTGCATTGGAATGTTTGTTCTTCAGAACAAAGGATTACCTTCTTTCATATTGTGAACTCAAAATGACAACGCCGGAGGATACGACCCACCGTAGACTCTCCTCCTTATTTCTGGCTGCTGAAACATTATGAATATCAATCAGCTCAAGGAGTTGATATATAGAATAGATGAGTATGACAGAAAAATGAATTATAAGTGTAGCGACTGAAAAGAATCATGTCTGCCATATGATGGAAAAAGGAAGTGGAGATGAGAACAATAGATTAAACAAGATCCAAGTTTACGGTTTCTTACATGGCTTAGAGCACGCAGCGATTTATTGCGTCTAGGATCTGATGTTCGTGGTACCGGGGCTCCACCAAATGGCCTTTGAACAACATGCCGTACATGATTATAAATGCTGTACACGTTGTAAGCAAAATGATCGTGTAAGTACAACTTGAGGTTGAGCTTAGTTCAACGGGGAAAGAAAGGTTGAAAAGTATCCCGAAAACTATTAGATGGTTTGTTGCTTACGACATTCTTTAAAGGCAATTGAAAAAAAGAATGTTTAGGAGATAATTTTTATGCGTGGGGAATGAGTGAATATAATAGATGGACCAATTGTCCATTTATTAAACAGTCTAATATTTACATGATGAAAGAAATAACTAAATGTACTGTTAAAAGGTAAGTAATCTAACTTCACAAAGGAAATAGAAGGAAGCTATACTAGAGATGGATTACAAAAGTAATATTGTTTCAAAGCAAGACAGTGAGTACTCATTTGGCATGGTAGGTGGGCGTGGTCATCAAAGAAAAGATTTTCATACGAATCAGAAGAGCCTAAAGTAATTAATGGAACTGTAAAATCAGAGATGCCAGGAGTTTAGTGCAAAACAGAAAACATCTCTTCCCTTATTTCAGCCTAGAGAAACAACTAAAGTTTTAACTTCAATGCAGATTTTAAGCTACTGTGATGGAAATTTTAGAATATCCTGAATGTTAGAAATCTTACAGATCAAAACCACCCCAAGGGCCAGTGTTTCCTTCATTATTAGAAAAGCCACAATTCAAATCAGCTCTAAACTAAACAAAAAAAATCAATTATGAATTGTTTCCACTCATTTCGTGGGGTAATTCAACGTTATCCTTCTTGTCGAAAAACAAATCATTCCCCTATACACCGGAAGAATCAGAACCCTATATCCTGATCTAAAATATATACAAATATAAGTACTTAACTTGATAAAATTTTCACAATTAGTACGACTAATTTTAGTTGGAAATATTGTTTCAGAAGTAGTGCAATGATTGGAGGAAATTGGCACATCCTTTCATACTTAATGTATACCAGCGTATGCATGTACTTGCTTAGCTCTCTAGTTGAATCTAAAATACAGGGTCACGAGACCAAAATAATTGACATATAAAAAGGCAGATAGGTTAAAATGCAGGACCTTAGGCGATGTCTATTGCAGGCTGTGAAGAAGGCAACAAAACCATTTAATATACTTCTGAGAGAGCGAAAAACCTGGAAGAAGCCAGAAAAAAAGTAAATAAACATAAAGAAAGACATTAATCAAAGCTACAATAATGTCTTCTAACCTGAGAAAAAATGTCATTCCAAAGTGAACGCAACATGGAAACCTCACTAGTGCTCACTGTAGATTCAGAAGCTGAAGCAAGTTGAATTATGCTCCTAAAAGACTGCCATATATCTCCAACCAAAAGAGAGATGAACCGAAACATATAAGCCACGAATCTGGCTAATGCAAGGACTAGGCGTATTGGCGCATATACTACTTCCCAAAGAAACCAAAATGTAGGATACAGGATGGAAGTTGCTGTAGTAGCATGAAATAAGATGAACATAATTAACACATTGAGCCAATGCCCTAAATAAGGAAATAGCTTAGAAAATTCAATCATCTAATGACCTACCAATTTTACGGAGAACTACACCAATAAAGCATATAGGCATCAGAACAAACTCCACGATATCCTCCAATAGATTGTACAAAGAACCAATCACAATCCATATGACTGAAAAGAAGCTTTCCACTACATCACTGAACGTATTCCAAATTGGCGAAAGGAAGCTCAAAAGGTCCATAAATGGTTCTGCCAGTGGTAAACAAAGAAAAGAGAAAAATGATCGAGTAGCACGTGTAACTGTCAAAACCAACCTCACAGCCTTCTGACAGTTATGTAGAAATAGCATCGTTCCCAAGTACTTGATCCTTGATACCATCTCCCAGGTTTCTATCCAATCAAAGAGTGGCCCGCATAAACGAGCAGCAGTTGCCTTAAGAACAGGAACATTTTTGTATAAATCATAAAACCCTATTAGAACAGTAATGACTGAAATCGAAACATATAGAGCTCTGGCCAGAGGACACATCCATGGGCGATAGATATGGCAAAAGCCAGGATATGATTGAAGGAAGATGACCCAAGATGGAAGACCAGCCTCTAACAAACGAAGTAACCTCTGATCAGGCGTTATTATTTGCTGTAATTTAAATGGGAGATCTCTATCATCAAATCTAAACAAAAGAAGAACATCCCTATACTTTGTAGCTTCGACTGCATTTTTGGGATAATTGTCAAATGAGTTTTCAGCTTGCCTTTGAATTTCCTCACAATTCACATCAACTTCAACTCCAGTACTAATTACCTTACTTGCTTTATTTCTCTTATAAGGACCAATTGGAGTTTGTGGCTCAAAAGTTTCGCAGTAAAATTTTAAATCACCAGTGTCACAATGATCATGGGAGAAACTTTCTTCAGTGCTCAAACTATCCTCGTATAAATTTTCGTCATCATCCTCATCAAAATCTTCTTCAATATCATAGAAGACCTCTGCTAAAACAATCCAGATTAAATACTTTATTAGCACAGCAAATTGATTAGATTGAGGAAAAAAGTGAAAAATGTGGTTTCAGGCTTCTAGAACTATCATGTGGTGAAAGTGCCTGGAAATGAGATATACATTGTGGAAGATAAATAGACTGATATACAGACAACCAATTGAAGGCATCAAGTAATTCTTCGACCATTTTCTGAACAAATTTTGTACCTATTGCAGTGAACGGACATTATACTAACTTCACCAGTAAAAGGTAGAGTACAAAAGCTTATAGAAAACGCCTGCATATACTCAGGTAAATGGAAGGAGCTTTTACTAACAACAAGAAACTTGAGAGCACCAGCCTCGGTTCAACTAAGAAGCATGAAATAACATAGATACTATTGATTTCGAAGGCATAGAATTAGCATTACCCGATGTATAAGATAACGATAAGAAAAGAAAAAAGATACTAATAATCAATCATTCGCATATACATTCAGATGAAAAGCCAATATACAGGTCATTAAAAGAGATCTGATAGGTTTATGGTATCGTTCCTTAAAAGTTTTATTAGGCTAAGCCAGCATAATTGGCAAATTCTATTCAAACACATCTATAAGATAAGAGGATTTGCAAGTTTGGTCAAAATAGACGTAAAAAAAAAAGCAAAAGATTGGAAACAATTATACTTGATGATAATTCCTTTACAGTGTAATGTACCTAACTAGTGTCCTAAAACCGCATGTTTAAGTGTCTGTTTAAGATTCAGACACTAAAGTCTCCATCAAGCTTTTCTCCAAGAATAAAGCCTTGGTAAACCAGACCAGAAAATATCAAGGCAGGAAAAAAAAAACTAAAGAGGATGAAATAAAATTCCAGTCACAATTCAGGATATCCAAATCGAATCTCAATATAGATTTTTCAACAGCTTTTGTTGACAAGATTATAGAAAATTATTGAACCTTAAATAAAATATTCAAATAAATGGCAAACCAAACCAAACAATATTTTTTGAATAAAACAGAAGCTAAGACCATATTTAATGACGGTAAAAGGCTGAAGAAACTAGTAGTTCTTGACTTGGGACATGGTCTGGCTTCACACCATGATGCAACTCAAAATTACTTGAGAGTGAGTAATTAAAATACAGGGGTTTTAAGGAGCTATTCTAAGTTGTTAACTGAAATGGAAGTGATAGGTCCAACCCTCTTATATAACTCATAACTTACAAATGTTTTTTAGTTCAAATGGAACGGAAGGTAAAGTAAAGGAGAGAGGATATGAGAATGAATGAGAGTAAAAGACTCTCCATTACCCTGTTAGGGAATAGAGAGTGGAGCAGCACAAAGTATAAGATTTTTATGCATTACTGAAATGTAACAATTGACTTGACCGTGATCAACCAAAAGTCCAAAATCCTGTGGTAGAGTTATCAAAATACACATTGAACTGCTTTTCAATGTCGTAAATGTGAACAGGGATAATTCATTTGCATATTTTAGAAGTTGATTTGACCCTCCACCAATTGCACTACACCAAGTTAGAATTATAAAGCAACCAAATATACTTTTAGCAACACTATAAGGTTCCTTCAAAAATGCCTCTCCAGTTTGCAATTTCTAAATTTATAACAGTTTTGCATGTCCAAAACAATATAAATGATAGTGACACATAATTTATTGCACCCTTAAAAATCATATGCTAGTGAAAGGTAATTTATTGCGCCCTAGAAAATCATAAAGATAAAGTTTCTACTAATGTCTTAAAATATGAAGGCAAAAACATACCAATTGTTGAATTCAAGTACTCTTCTAAATAATGCTGATCCAACTCTGTTCCGGAAAACCATGATGATATGGAATTTACAGCATGATCAAAGCTTTCAAATTCCCATCTTCGCATGAATTTAGCCTCTATGGCCAGAGAGGTATCAGTCTGCAAATGAGAAGAAAAGAGCTAAACAAGACCTTGATTGTGAACTACAAACAAAAAAACGAGCAATATCCAAGAGCAAATACCTGAAGCTCATTGAAATAGTTAATACCTCGAACATCTGACCATGTGACTTCAAATACAATGAAGCCATACAAAGTCCGATGCAGCTCACTGCTAAGGAGCAAAGAGGTTCGCAATTTCTTAACAGGTAGTAAAGCCCTCTTTTTAGACAATGTTGCAGCATCAATGAAACAGAACCATCTCTCGAACTTTTTTGAATTGTCAGCATTTAATTTGGAAGCAGCTTCCTTCCCCTCCTTTCTCTCCCTACGGCCCTTGGTGTTAGCAAAAGGAGATAACCTGGACTGTAAATGCATAATGAATTGCTTAATTAAATTACAATCCTCTTATTTGACTTTTTTTAGTAAAAAGAAAGAAGCATTCTCAATAACCTTGGTAACCATCAATTGCCACCACAAGTGAGCTGGCCATGAACCCAAGTCCCTCAGCCATGGCCTGTTGTGCACCAAAATGTAGAATTTGTTACTTCCAGTGGCCAGGAAAAGGCTAAGATCCGAAAGATAAGACTGCAAGTCCCTGCAATCATACATTACACAACAAAAAATTCATGAGCAGAGAATCCGGAGTAGTACTGTCTGGTTCTTATATTTTCCCATAAAGGAAGTCCTTATAATACTAAACAATTTCTCTCGGATTTTGATATTTTTCCTATAAATCAAGTCCATAGAAACACACAATTACGAAGTTACCATGTAAAATTAGTCTTTTAATCTCATCAAAAAAAGCAATCAGTAATCGTCACCCGTAAAAGTAATCTTTTAATCTCATCAGAAAAGCAATCAGTAATCATCATCCGTAGAAAACAACAATGTGGGAAGAAGAAGTTTATTCATAACATTAATGTATGGACTAGTAGCTGAAGCCAAAACCTTAGCTTAATGAAATTCTACTAGAAGTCTAAAACAAAACATACAACTGGTGATTTTATTAAAAAAACAAATGATAGAAGTAATTTAAAAGTCAATGAATTACCCGATCTGGAGACTTGTTAAAGGAAAAACCGAGCGTTCATCGTCGTGTTTCTCCATCAAAATCATGATCTAAGCTCAGGTTTAATTCCAAATTACAGCTAAGCACAGCCTAACAATTAGCATATCGTTGAAAAAACAAACATAAATTCTCATAAATATCCAAGATAAGCAACGATAATACTTTAAAGAGAGAGGGGGGGGGAAACAGAATGAATTCCATGAAAATGGAAGAGAGGAAGGAGTGAGAAAAGTAAGGAAACAATCACACTTGAGCTTCATAACAGAACAGAAAAAGAAATAAATAAAATCGAAAGAGAATAAGAGACGCGTACATCGAAACTACAAAAAAATTAGGAGCAGGCTATATGAAAAGAATCGGAATTTTGAAAGAAAGAAAAAAATGGAATCAAACGAAATGCAATAAAAATAGTTGGAGGGAAGAAGGAGATGGTTTTTGCCTTGAAAGGAACGATTTCATTCGACGCGTTAACGCGTCCGATGAATAAAAAACGACGTCATTGTATTCAAAACACAGAGAAAAACCAGTTGCTTATGGCTATGGATGTAAGCTTTGCATTTGGAGGTGGGTGGAGAGGAGAAGGGCATAGTGGGAATTTGGTGGGGTGGGAACTAAGAAGACGACATTTTCCTTTATCATTAATATTATGTTATAAGAAACCAATAATTCGTGGGAAATAACCGAAACATGCGTGGCGTATGGGATTCAGGCCAGGGGAGGTTATATAGATATTTACGATCTTTTTTATTTTTGTTAAGAAAGTATTTACGGTTTTGCTACGTCTGTTTTTGTTTATTTTATTATTATTTGAGCTGTCGGATATTTAAGATTATGGACACATTAATTATTTCAATGAATTAATTTTAAGCGTGTACTTGTTTTATTAAATAATTAATTTTAAGCGTGTACTTGTTTTATTAAATAATAAATTTTAAATAACTATAACTTAGTAAAGACTTTTTTATAAATTTTAAATATAATCATAATTTATTTAAAGGATGAAAAAAAGAAAGACTCTCGGAGAAGGAATAAGAGTACTACTAATAAATTTAAAACATATTACTTTAGAGAATAGGACGAAATAAATAAACATAAACATCTTCATCAACCGATCAAATACCATTACTCAATTAATTCTTCTATATAATTTCATTTATTAGCACTTGATTCGTGATATTATTTTCCATATAAATATTTAAATTAATTTATGATCACCCATGCATGAAATGCGTCTAAATAAGTAGAACAAGGATTTTGTCCGACTAAATTTTGATAAAATCTATATAATGATTATACTTACAATATTTAAAATATAAAAATTCTAAGGTTCACAGACTTCTTAAATTTTCAAAATTCTTAAAAATAAGCTAAATATTTGAAATATTTTTATTCAATTAAGGTTTTAAAGTAAGAAATTAAATCAATTAAAATTTTAAATAAAAGATTACATTATTTAAAAAAATAAAAAAACTAATGGTTAAATCTTAATAATTTTAATGATATTATTATCATATGGCATATTATAGTTTTGTCACTATATATTTTTAAAGAAAATTTTAAAAATATTCTATAAACTTATTAAAAATAAAAAATATGAAAATGTTGCATAAAAATGTCATGACTTGACACATGTGATATCCATCGATTAGGAAATCAATAAAATAACGACATGTTGATCGAATGAGTGAATCAATACAAAAATTTAATATAAAAAACTTAATTGGGAGGGAAAATAAAATAACTTAATTGATTTTTTAAAAATTTAATATTCTAGTACCCCAAATGACATTTTTATAATAAAATTTATAAATTTACCGATTATTACTTATAACATAGGCAAAATAAGGTAACTAATATACACGGAATAATTAATTAGTAAAATAATATACCTTTAAATTTATTTTAAGATTTTGGTAATTTTTTATAAGACATGTGAAAAAAGTGATGAGTTTTATAAAACATATTAAAAAAACTCGTCATACGAAATTTATCAAAAATTGTATGAAATTTGACACCTCCCTACTATAAGTTCCAAACTTGATTTATCTAATTTTTCCTATAACGTAGGTTTGACTTGGATTTAAAGAGTTTACACTTGATTTTTTTTATATGCCAATAAAATAGATAGTGATTTAAAGCTAAATTAACTTTGAAAAAAATAAAAAAAATAAAACGTCAAAAATTTACACTCATTTGTCTTCTTAAATTTCATAAGAATCAAGAAAATTTCTTTTGTTTGGTAATTCTTATTTATCTTCTTATAATTATAAACTAATTAAGAATAATATGTTGCTTTTCACTTCCCATAGTAATGTATGATTTTTAAATGAAAAATTGTTACTCTTATATAAAATCTATATATTGATTAAATGTTTTAAATATGACAATTTACAAACCAATGAAATGTATAGTCTGTTTAAAATTAAAAGGAATTTTTTATTTTTTAAATAAAAAAATCGTCTCCAACTGAGCAGTGGACCCTACATTTACGAAAGTAGTTTGAAAATCGTTATCCACAATTGGATAACTTCCGATTGACTTTATACAATGTGCAGAGCATATTAATGGATTCCAATTAAATGATGAAAATGGAAATACAATCGACACTTTCTATGATACAAAAAAAAAAATCACAATATACATCTACATCATTATCTAAAGATTTATATATTATTTTAAATTTTACAAAGTTAAATTTATGTATTATTTTTATAAAAAAATGTTAATTTTTATTTGTTTATGTTGTTAATTTATAATGTATCAATTATAAGAAAAGCTAAAATAATTTTTATTAATTTGATTACTAGTATTTAAAATATATAAACAATAAATTTTATATATTTATAAATAAAAATAAAAATATAATCGAAAAGTGTAAAAAATAAAAATTATAAAAATATTTAAAGTTATAAAAAAGAACTGATAAAAAATGTAAATCTCGTTTTCTTCTATGTGTGAAAGGAATTTGGGTTTTCTTTATTCTTTGTTTCTCTTGTGCCTACGTATCACATTTATCTCATTTTATATAGATCATAAATATAATAAATCAAATTCCCATACCACATTTATCTCATTTTTTTCGATCACAATTGTAATAAATTAAAGTAAACTATCATATTTGATATGTTATTTATCTCCATCCATAATTATCTATGATTCAAGTGATTTGAGCAAATTCACTCCATCGTATTATTAGAGCGAATCAACGACACTTTTCTTTTGTTGTATTAGAGCGAAGAATTCTCTCTGCCAAATTAATTAGGGTAAAGAGCAAAAGAAAAAATCTTTAATTAATGATTGATTGAGTCATATATATTTATTATCATTACTACAAAATAATGATAACATATTTTTCAATCCAAAATCAATGAACCTAACATCGTTTAGGGTTTTGAAACATTAATATTTGAATTTTAATTTGAGGATTTAGGGATCTCGTCATGGATGGATCAGGAGGGAGCGGGAGAGATAATTGTCTTCCTTAAAAATTTTAAATTAATATTTATTTTAATATATTTCATCCGTTTAAAATTTTAAAATATGTCTCCTCGACACAAAATCTTGCATTCATATCTGGTTCTCATATCCTTTATACAATTGAAGACAACGAACGTAATAAAAAATAATGAATATATAATAAGTTTTAAAAGTTTCGACCAAGATGTAATTATTCTAAAAGTATAGTGATTATATAAACGTTTTACCCTAAAATAAAAAGTAGATATTAATATTGAAATACAAATAAAGTTAAAAAAAAGCGGATAAGATGATAGTGTACAGCCAAATGCGTAAAGCTCACTCTCTTTCTAAGCCAAATGGAGGCGTCTTAATCAGGAATCAAAATCATAGCTCGTGGGACCCACCGGATATTTTTGGACGCATATTGATTTAAATAATAATAAAGCATCTGAACAATCACAGAGTTTTCGTAGACTAATAAATCAGATACTAATGATTAATTAAAAAAAATCAAGCATATTTGTTTACGTGCACCACGATGTTGCAACTTCAAAATTAATAAGGAATATTATTTTAATTAATATTAAATTTCAAAATATAATTTAAAAATCTATTTTCCATGTCCTTATGAAAATGAATATAAAAAATAAAATTTTAAAATATATTATTTTCCCAAAATATAAAAGAATATACTGTACATTAATAAAAAAATTAATATAATTTATGAAAGAAATAATTTATAAAACATAAAAGTATATCATATACTATAATAAAAGTATAGTAACATTTTCATCCTTTTAAAATAAGGAATATTGTTTTAATATGATTATTATAAATCTTATATTTTTTTATTCATCTACGTTTCACATATAATATTCTCGAGACACCAAAAATTATTTATTTATATTTTATATTTTTAAAAGAAAACTACTAAACGTAGTATTTGTTTTCTGAAATTTTTTATTTTAAATATTGTTTGAATAGGCTTATATTAATTTTACATACACGTTAGTTTATTTTACATTTTAATATATAATCCTTGATTCCGTAGTATAATAATTTATAGTTTTCTCTTCGGTTAGTATATGAATGTCACGAAAGAATAATCTTTTTGTTTATGATTGCATGGAATTTGGACATTGATCATGTTAGTGCGTGGATAGTGGAGTTCATGTGCGCTTCACTGATTGGGCACCAATAATTTCACATTCCTACATCTCTAATGGAGGTGGCCCAATATTTATTTATCTTTCTAAACAATCGATCTACCTAGTAGTGTCACAGTCAGTACTGTATAAAATGTTTGGAGTTAATAAGAGAATTATTAGGGATAAATGTATGATTTTATGTTAGTAACCTGAATTTATTATAATTTATAAATTTAATTTAATTTTTTTAAATATAAAAATATATTATCAATAAAAATATTAAAAAAATCTAAAATATATACAAATTTAAAATTTTCAGATCAATCCATCATAATTCATACCTCAAAATGTCATCTGCTTTAGCATCCGATTCCAAAAGTGGAAATACCCTCCTCATGTTGCATTGTTTGATTGTTTATGACCCTTTGTTTTCTTTATTTAAGTGAAAACTTTAAAGATTCAGATGCTTTTGTTTTCTTTTATCCTTCTCCTTCGTCAAATCCATGACAAAATTTAACTAAATAGGGTTATATACTCCAAGTTTGGTCAGACAATGAATCTGATTTTTTTTCATTATAATTTCTATTATTCAGTCTAAAGACACGCTAATTTATCTTGTCCGTAGATCACACATCATCCTAAAACCTACATTTATCTTCAAAATTATTACACTGTGTCGGAAGAATAATATATATGATCATCTCATTCGATAAGGACACTGATATTTTTTTTAATCTTTGTGTGGTGTTCGCATCCTTCTTTTTTAATTATATATACTGAGGTGGAGCTGGTGAGATAGACAATGGTTTGATCCCTTTTGGTTAGATGATACAATTCACTTTTAGTCTTTTTTTTAACTTCAATAATTCAATTTAATCCCTATTGACTCTTCGTTAAAATTGTAATAATTATGTCAATATTTAGTTTGTGACCTATTTATAATTTTTATTTTTTAGGCTTTATTATTAATATACTAATAGACGTCATT